GCATTTTTAAACTTCCATTATGAGATAACACTTCTAATTAACGATTAAATCAAATATTAAGCAGAAAATCTTTAACCTTAAAATATTTAGTACTTATACTATCATAAAAACAAATTTATATAGTAAATCATCAAGTTAAGAGCCAGCTGATGATCTGAAATTTTACTATCAAACCATTTAAAAATGCCAACAGACTGAGTGATCTGAAGTGTACATCTTTACAGGCTTTTGAACACGACATCTGTTTAAAGTCATACTTGAGAACAGTCTACCATAACCAACCAGACACGTCTAACCTTCATACTAAAAGCTACCACATCTATCAGTATTTGCTGAAGGCTGGCTGCAATGCACATGGCCCAAGTCACTTCTGTCCTAACAGGAGTGCTACCATGTGTACATGCACTGAAGACTTCCAGGACATCCATACACAACAGGGTCAGGGTTAGCTGACTGAAGGATCACAATGATTTTTAAGCTTTTGACACTATTCCTTATTGTATTAGATTTTTTAAAAATATTATTTATTTTTTTAGAAGAATCCTATCATTACAGCTTTAATATGCTCAATAACAGTTTCCAGAGCAAAGATACAGCTTTTTCAAAAGTGGCTATAAAAATTTACATCATGTCTTATCTTCACATAGGCAGAACTGGTAAAAGAAAGGAACCAGGGGCTCCTCCCAAGCCCATGTGACCCCTGAGGAACAGGTCCTCAAACGACCTTAAGAATAAAAATAAATTGGTTTATCAGGGCCAACTGTATGGCCTTAAACATCCAAAAGGAAAGTGTAACCAAAGATTAATGGGGTCAATATAATTTCTTAAGAGTCCATATGCATAGCTAAAGGCTATATAACAAGCAACAATGCCAGATAGGACATACCTTCTTTTGAGTTGTTGGCAAGGGCAAACAAAGGGACTCCCAAATAGTAACCCAGCATAGAACTGGGAAAATGAAAGCAGATCCTAATCTTATCTAAAGGAGTATTGACAACTGATTGCTGCTAGAAGAGGAACAGCTGACCCTCTTAAAACAAAGACCTCTAGATAGGCTGACTAGATTCACCAGATGGATAAGTAGTGGGGAATGGCTGGGGTTGCCAGAAATAGTAACCCAGCATAGAACTGAGAAAATGAGCAGCAGACCCCAATCTTATCTAAAGGAGTATTGACAACTGATTGCTGCTAGAAGAGAAACAGCTGACCCTCCTACACAAAGACCTCTAGACAGGCTGACTAGATTCAACAGAAGGGCAAGTAGTGGGGATTGGCTGGGGTGCCGACAACAGGGGTGCCACAGACAGTAGCAGGGATATCAGAGTATAAGGGCTCTAGTCGGGGGAGAGAGGCTATGGGAAGGTGCCAACTGGGAAGTGGGTGTAAAGTCGAATAAGATGGTTTGGGATGTTCTGTGTGATACACACACACACACACGCACACAAAAAAATCAACCAATTTTTTAAAAATGTATTATATTTGAGGAGAAAGCATGGAAATTTACGTCATGCTAATTAGTAGAGGTGATAAACATTATCACTGAAATCTACCCGATGACTTTATAGACATACACCGGTGCCAAGGATCCGAATGTAACCGATTATGACTAGTAATAATCAGATACATACAGATTAGAGACACAAGCACCAACATCTCAATGTTACTGGCAAAAACAATGAGTCTTTTTGTAAGAAAAAGTTTATTTTAAAATGAAATGGAGATCTTTTTTAAAGGTTAAAAACTCACTCAATTTTATGTCTTACAGGGCTTATACTGAGTTCAATATTGTATAATTGTATTAGATTTTATATCATGCATATAAATGTGAATAATGTGTGCAAATGTACAGTAAATGTCATTTATATAGTGTTTGACATATTTTAATAATTCAAATTTTAAAGGTAAGTTCATAATCTAGTTAATCTTATAATTTCTAATGAGTTTTTATTAATTCTATTTCACTCTTCAAATGCAGTTAATTATCATGAAAAGACAGACACCTATACATACATATATGTTTGTATCATATCAAACAAACTAATTGCCCATAAAAAGTTCTCTCAGTAATAAGACATTTTCTGGTCTTAAATTCACCACAGTTCTATTATCTCGTTGTCTTCACTTACTTCACTATTTGAATGTTTAATGCTCAGCACTGAGCAACTGAGCTCTTAAGGCTATTACTTGACAAAAACTTTTTAAAAAATCTACCTTTAACATTTAATTAAGGAAGTTAATTACTAGAAAGTGTCCAGCCAGAATAAATTTAGAGTAAAAAATAAATTTAGAGTAAAAATTTAGAGTAAAATCCATCTGAGTAAAATGAACTACCAGCTACATCTTCTAGGATTTTTTTTTTCTGTCTTTTTGAGACAGGGTCTCCCTCATTCAGTAAAGGAAGTGACTGCTTTGTTGCCATTTACAGGTAATATGATTATCATTTATAGGTGGCTATCACAGCTACTTACCTCTGTGCTGTAATAATGATTTTAATAATTGTCTATAATACTAGTCTCAGAAATGACCTGATAAAGACAAAACATTTTAAATCCTATTTTTGCAGAAATTATACAGATTAGAAAGACAAGGAGCTTTAATCCATACAGTAATTTTTCCTCAACCGAGCAGCCATGACAAGGTTGCTCCCACCTAAGTATCTGAGCGAGCTTTATGCCCCGATTTGTCAAACTTCAGCACACACATGCACTTTATCCCCATTTAAGTCTTGAAATTTTCTCACCTGTAGACAATTTATCTCAAACTATTTCTACTGAGGAATTCATTAAGTGTGTGCTTTAAAGTGAGTGTTGGTTCTACAGAAGCCCAAGAAATAGTTCCTCCTTTGCAATTACTTCTAAACTTAACAACTTTCAGGTAAGCATAGATTTGTTAAAATCAATCTGATATCTTTTTTAAAAAGTAATGGAGTATTTATAAATTTTAAAAAACAGAAAAAAGTTAAATATAAATAGAAAAAAAGTATGGAGACTTTAGTTATCCATAGTACTTGACTATGGACTTCACAAATGCAATTCCTCATAGGGAATTTGTTATAAAATAGTTCATTAAAATGGTGTCCTACACAGCAGACTTCTTGCCGATTCTGCCTTACTGGCTACATGCCTTGGGGAAGTTGCTTAACATTTCTGGGTCTCTACTTTCTCAAGTATAAATGAGAATGACTAAAAATCCTGCTTCAAAGGGCTATTTTTAAGATTAATTAAGTCAATAAGCATAAAACACCAATTCATAGCATTCATAAGCACTTTATAAAATGTTACTACTTCCATCATATCTTAATTTTTTTAAAAAAATATTTTACTTGGTATTTTTATTTTATGTGTATGAGTGTTATGCCTGCCTGTAGGTAAGTGCACCCGTGTCGTGCAATGCCGGAGGAGGACAGAAGAGGCTGTCGGATCACCTGGAACTGGAGTTACTGACAGTTGTTAGCTGCCATGTGGGTGCTGGGATTCGAACCCACCTGAAAGTATGGGAAAAAGGAAAAGTAACTTCATCATGTAAAACTATTTCAAAATGCTAAACATTTAATACTGAGCACAAGATACTACATTTTTGTGCAAACCCACACAGCAGCAATATAGGTTCTCATGGGTTGGGGCCATTAAGTTTGTTGTGCTACAAATGCGAAAAAAAAAAATTATTTTCCAATCCAACTCCTCTTTATTTTCCTGAATTGAGAGGCAAGGTGAGCTACTATTTCCAAGCCCACATACTCCCATTCCTTCCACTCTGTACAATGTGACCTAATAGTAACTCTGGAAAGAACAGCTTCAGTCATAGGGTTTCCATCAATACAAGCCTTAACCTGTTATTTCCAGTCTAATACTTTCAGACACCCAATATTTTGAAGTACTTTATGAAAACTTGAACAAAACCATTTTTGCTATACAAGCAAGCAGAGAGAAGCCCTCAGAAGCTAAGGACTAGTAAGGGCTACAGCAGCCACAGGGGTCCCTGGGGCTACTTCACTTCCTTCCAGACTTAAGGATATAATAACTGTTCGATCAGCAGAGGCTGTCAAGATAAGCTGATTTTCCTCTTCACAAGATTCCAAGGAAGGAAACGCAGTAATAGCTGTTATCTTTTGAGTGTGTCCACTGAGTTCCAGAAGTTTTTCACCTGTCTGAAATACCATTAAGAATGTTAATAAACTTATCTTTACCAACTTGAATAATCTTAAATAACAATATTAACATACCCCCCACACACATATACATCATTAAAAATAAATCTTTAAAATATAGTTTGTGTGGAACTTGTGAAGACTTTTGTCTTTCCATGATTCTCTACAGCACTTACATTGTAATAGGTGTGATATGTACTCTAGAGATGGTTTAAACTCTATGGGAGGATGTGTAGGCTATACACAAAGCTTTACTGTTTTATATGGGGGACTTGGGCATCCATAGATATGGACATGGAGGAAAGGAAGGGAAGACTAGAACCTATCCCCTGTGGAAACTGGGGCAGCGTAATGATAAAGTACTGTTTTAATCTATCCAAAACAAAGAAGCAATGAAGAAAAATAATTTAAGAAAAGGGTAACTTGTGGAAACAAATAATCACAATCATAAAGAAACCTGGGGAAGTTTTAAATATTTTTGAAAAACAGACCTTTTGTTATATTATTTTTAAAGTCAACATAAGAATTTTATATTATGCTGACAACTTTGAAAAAAAATTGTACCTTCTCACACAAATTAACTATTTATTTTGGATGTCATTACACAGTACATGACTACCTAAATTTTGTTCAAAAAGATGAAAACTTTGGGGGGCTAGAGAGATGGTTCAGTGGTTAAGAGCACATGCTGCTCTTATAGAAAACCTGAGCTGGGTTCCCAGCATCCATGTGGGGGGTGGGTGGCTAACAACTGCCTGTACTTTAGCTCCAGGGGATCCAGTGACCTGTTTTTGGCCTCCAAGGGCACCCAAACACACATACTCATATAGATCTTTAAAACAAACAAACAAACAAACAATTTTCTGGGCATGGTGGCACACTCCTATAATCCCAGCACTCCCTAGGTAGAGGCAGGCACACCTCTGTGAGATGGAGGCCAGTCTTGTCTACATAGTGAGTTCTAGGCTGGCTGGGGCTACAGGGAGATTCTGTCTCTTTTTTTTAAAAAAAAAAAAAAAAAGATTAAAACTTTTTTTATATAAAAAAACCCTAATAAAGAAACCTTTCCCTCTTTAGAATGAAATGCCGATCCCTGTTGTAAATGAATTTATTAGCCTCAAGTAGTAATAATATGCAAATATACCTCACATAGCGTTTACTATATTTATTACACAATCCACATTTAATCAATACCTACCTGGGCATTCCACACAACTATAATTCCATCATCACCAGCAGAAGCAAATCTGGTTTGAGAAAAAAGGCCAAGAAGAAAACTCACTAGTGACATTTAATTGACAAGATTTTTAAAAATATTTTATTTATTATTTTTATTTTATGTGTATGTGTACTGCCTACATGCATGTAAGTGCACTCGTGTCATGCAATGCCTGAGGAAGTCAGAAGAGGGTGTCAGATTTCCCTGGAACTGGAATTACAAATGGTTGTTAGCTGCCATGTGGGTACTGGGAATCGAACTCTGGTCCTCTGCAAGAGCAGTCAGTGCTCTTAACTGCTGAGCCATCTCTCCAACCCCTTGACAAGATTTTATAATGTATTATTATTTTAGTAAAATTACTTACAGAAATAGTAAATCTCAATATACTGATATCATGATGTAATATGACTGTATCAAGGCTATTATCAAAATAGTAACTATAATATATAGATGAATATTAATATGAATGTTAATGCTTATATTTATAATACTATATTTCTATTCACATCAATTATTATAGTGATCAAATATTAACACATTTAATTTATATTCATATTAGTATTATTAGTGGCTAAAAATTAGCTGAATTGTTCCCTCTGTGTCATGCTCTGTGCTAACCTTTCTTTTTTTAACTAGCATACAAAGTATTACATTTCATTACAGCATTTTCAAACAAAATTCGTCTTTGTTGATTTCCCCCTCACCCATTCCCCTACCCCACCATGCACCCTTCCACCCTCAATGGCCTCCTTTCTCTCATGTCTGTTGCCCAAGCCTTCCTCAACACCTCTTTTCCCCCTCTCACGGTCCCCTTTGTAGTTTCACATCCTATATTAACACTCACACCTGCAGTATCTAAACATTAAAATCCACATGAAAGATCCATATGAAAGAGAACATGCGATATTTGTCTTTCTTAGTCTGGGTCACGTTGCTTAATACAATACTTTGTGGATCCACCCATTTTCCTTTAGATTGTGTAACTTCATTTTTTTTTTACAGTTGAATGAAATTATACTGTGTATAAAAACAATTGTCGGGGGCTGGAGAGATGGCTCAGTGGTTAAGAGCACTGACCGCTCTTGCATAGGACCCAGGTTCGGTTCCCAGCACTGACATGGCAGCTACGAACCATCCTTACCTCCAGTTCCAGGGGAATCTGAAGCCCTCTTCTGACCTCTGCGGCACTGCATGACACGAGTGCACTCGCAGACAATACACTCATACACATAAAATAAAAATAATAAATATTTTTTAAAAAAATTGTCATCTATTCAACTGTTGATGGACATGTAGACTGATTCCATTCCCTTGCTACTGTGAATAATGCAGCAATAAACACGGATGAGCCAGTGTCCTCTGGGTATAGGTCTAGGAGTGGTACAGCTGGGCCATATGGCAGTTCCAGTGTTAACCTTTTTTATAAGCCTCCATCCTGATCTCCATAATGACTATATGACCTTACACTCCTACCAGCAGTGAATGAGGGTTGTCTTTCCACACATCCTCACCAGCATTTGTTGTTGCCTGTTTTCTTGATAGCCATTCTGACTGGTATAAGATGGAATCTCAGAGCAGTGGGGGGTAGGGACACAGGGGGTTATGATGCATGCACATGAGTGTGCAGGTGTATGTGCTGGTGTATGTGCATGCGCATGTGGAGGCCAGAGCAAGATTTGGGTGTGTTCCTCTATCACTGTCTGCCTTATTGCCTTGAGACAGAACCTTTCACTGAAAGGGAAGCTTGCCTTTTTGACTAGGCTGGCTTGCTAGTGAGTTCTCAGGATCTACCTGACTCTGTCCCCCAATGCTGGACTTAAAGGCACACACAGTCATGTTTGACTTTTTACATGGATGGAGGAGATTCAAACTCAAGTCCTTGTAGTGCAAGTATTCTTACCCACTAAAACAACTCCCCAACACCCTCAAAGCAGTTTTAATTTGCATTTCCCTAATGGCTAAGGATGTGGAACATTTTTTTCCTCTTTTATTCTTGTGTGTGTGTGTGTGTGTGTGTGTGTGTGTGTGTGTGTGTGTAGGATAAGATAGTATATGTCCACACATGTGCATGCATGTGGAGCCAGCCAGAAGTTGACATCAGGTATCTTTCTTTACCATTTTCCACAGTACCTTTTGAGACAAGGTCTCTCACTGAAGCCAGAGCTCACCAACTTCCTGAGCTAGCTAGCCAGCAAGCTTTGAGGGATCTACCTGTTTTTGCCTTCCTAGTGCTAGGGTTACAAATGTACATGACCATGCTGGACCATGTGGGTGCGAGGGATCTTAACTCGGGTTGTCATGCTTATACAACACACCTTATCAACAAACACCTCCCAGTCCTGGGAACACTTTTAAAAATACTTGCTTGTTGGCCATTTCTGTTTCTTCTCTTGAGAACTATTTATTTCATTAGTCCATTTATTGAGTAGCGGTTTGGGGATTTTGTTTTGTTTAGTTTTGACTTTTTTGCAGATCTTTATATATTCTAGGTATTAACCCCCAATCTGAAGTTCAGCTGGCAAAAATGTTCTCCCATTCTTTGGCCTGTATGTTCACTTTGCTGTGCAGGAACTTCTTAATTTCATATAGCCCTGTCTGCTAATTCTTCTACTTCTAATGCTATTGGAGTCTTGTTCACAAAGTTCTTGTGCACCTATAACTTGAAATGTGGTCCCTGTTTTCCTTTAGCACTTTTTTAAAATTTTTATTTATTTTTATTATGTGTATGTGTGTACTGCCTGCATGTAAGTGCACCCATGTCGTGCAATGCCCGCAGAGAGCAGAAGAGGCTGTCGGATCCCTTGGAACTGGAGTTATGGACAGTTGTTAGCTACCATGTAGGTGCTGGGATTTGAACCTGGGACTTCTGCAAGAACAGCCAATGTTCTTAACCACTGAGCTATCTCTCCAGCCCCTCCTCTAGTACTTTTAATGCTTCAGATTTTAAATTGAGGTCTTTGGTTTTTTTTTTTTTTTTTTTTGGTCTTTTTGTCCTGGAACTCACTATGTAGACCAGGCTGGCCTTGAATGCAAAGAGATCCGCCTGTCTCTGCCTCCCAAGTGCTGGGATTAAAGGCATACACCACCACGCCCAGCTCTTTGATACATTTTTAAATGTTTTATTGTGCAATGTAAGAGACAGATAACCAGTTTTGCCAGCACAATTTGAATAGGCTGTCTTTATTCCAGTGTATGCTTTTCACCCCTTTGTCAAAAATCATGTGGCTATATCTGCGTGAGTTCATTTCTAGGTCCTTTATTCTGTTCCACTGATCTGCATGTCTGTTTTTATACCAGTACCACACTGTCTGTGTCACCATGGCCCTGTGTATATTTTGAGATTAGGTATTATGATACTTCCAACATTAAATACCATCAAATCTTACTAGTGATCTTTTCACTTACAATAACAAAGATTTGGTGTTTCAGGCTAATTTAACAAATGTTTATAAGATACTTTTCAAATTCTATGCCAAGTATTATGGATCCAAAGATTAAGTAAGACCTTTATAATATTACAAAGAATAATCTGCTAAAATGTAACAATGAGGGAGATACATAGATGATCTTTAAAGTCTTCCCATGAGTTACAGTTTTGTGATTTTTAAGCAATCCAAAACAAATGAAACAAAACCAAGATGAGGAGTGGGTTTCACCGACAGGAAGTAAAGTCTGGGGATAGAATGGAAGGACTTGTGTCCTTAGTTTGGTTATTTCTATTATTGTCTTTGTAAAGTCATTTTAACTCTTATTTTTAAAGTCAAGACCTTTCCTTTACTCATCTTGGCTCCTTGGTCTTTCTGCAGAAACACTTTTTTTTGTTTGTTTGAAAGGTTTGTAGTTTCTTGGTGGTGGATGTTTGAAATGCACAAAGGTAAAGGATTTGGGAACATGAAGAAAAGCTGCAATAAATTTTACCAGAGCCTGTCTCTCCCCTCTTTACCTCCCACTCTGTGTAGTTAAGAACAAATTCTATATTATGTAGAGTCAAAGATATTCTATACACAAATACTATTAAGAAAAAATTTGAAACAAGATTATTCATCATAGAGATTATAACAAAATCAAGAAAGTGCTATTCTCAAGCAGTAACCCAACACAGTGGTGTGCAATAATCAGATTGTAAGTGTACTGATTTGTTATTAGTACTCTAGCACAGGAATCTGTAAATGAATGTAAATGACTCCAAATCCTATCTAAGTTGTTTCTGTAATATTATTTGCATTTTCAAGTATTCTTTAATAAGAGAAAAAGCATCTCACTATGAACTGAATACAACTGGTCCCTCACAGTTAACAGCATCTAATAAATGACAGTCCACCAACAGCTTTAGCCTTTAGAAAATCTGCAGTGCTTCCCTACAAGATCATTAGTGGGTTTCACAAAATAAGGGTGTATCTTCCATGTCCATTCAAGTAAACAGTGCCAGCCAAACATGTATCTTTGGGGAAAAGTCAAGAACTGAAACACCTGGACAGAGAATCACTTTGTCCAATGGGAAGACCTGCTCGTCTAGATTCTTCCCTTATGTGAGAAATGCAGACTCTCACGTTGGTCAAGTAACACTTTCCTAACACTCCAAACTGAGCTTCAAGTTCAAGTATCTCCTGTTCAGCTTCAAAGTTTCCTGTTGTCTTCATAGATAAGTCCCACATTCAGTCCTCATTCAAAAATCCTGATCAGATCTTCTACTGTTAGATAAGAGATTATCAGGGAATAGGTCAAATGCAGTTGAACAGAGATCATGAGTAACTGTTTTAATATAGCACTATTTTTTAATTTTTATTCATATTTTTTGCAAATTTTACATTATATTTTGATTGTATTTAGATTTCCCTCCAGTCTACAGCCCCCTATTACCCCTCATCCAATTTCATATATATATATGTGTGTGTGTGTGTGTGTGTGTGTGTGTGTGTGTCTATAATGTCAAATTTGTATCCCCAAATGCCCTTTGGTGTGGGTTCATACGTGAGAGAGAGCCTGGTCAACTTAACAAGAGTCTCACTCTTAAAGGAGAATGACTCC